AACCCTATAAACCCTAAACCCCATCTCAGCTCAGGAGTCGCTCCTCTCCATCCGAACGATCAAGGCCCTGGCCTGGGAGAAGCTGGCCCAAGAGAAGCTGATGAAGGCTCCCTAAGCCTTAAACCCTAAACAATAAACCTTAAACCCTAAACCTTAAACCCTAGACCCCGAACCCTAAACCTTAAACCCTAGACCCCGAACCCTAAACCTTAAACCCCAAGACCCTAAACCCTAAGCCCTAAACCCTATAAGCCCTAAATTGGAGATGTACTTCTGTTTCAAAGGAGAAGCTGATTAACTCTTGAGGGCTTGTGTACGCTGTAGGGCTGGCGTGCAGGGGTCTTAGTTTTCAGGGGCCTAAGGTTCGGCATTCGTTTTGGTTGAATCTAGGGGTTTAGGGTTTAGGGTTAAGTCGTGGGTATAGGGTTTAGGGAGCATCGCTGGGCTTGGAAGTTTGGATTGCCGGTGGCAGTGCTTTGTACGCGATACATGGCCGGACACAGTGGCAAGGCGGTCTCGACGCGAGAACCGATAAGTTTTCTGATGTCCGTGATGCGCCGAGTATAGTATAGTGTGTTTTTTTTGTACTGTACTTTGTGCTTTCTATATGCTACGCTATTTTTTGCTCTGATTGTTCCTTCAGGCCGAGAGAACTGTTACATTATTTGGGGCTTCCGGCGTGACTTCCGGCCCTAAGCCCATAGGGGTCTTATAAGGGTCCCATATGGGTACTACAAGGGTACTTTAGGTTGACGATGCAGCGCCACCGTCCGTCCTGTGTGCGACACCGGCGCAACATCCGCTGCAGGAGTTTACAGGTAGGCTAGGAATGGCGACCAAGCGCCTCTCGCAGCTGCCGAAGTTACTGGGGCACCCTAAACCCTAAACCCTAAACGTGCATCTTGAGCACGCTTCTATAGTAGAAGCCCTATGGGACCCTTACATAAACTGACCCCCAGAGCCCAAACCCAAACCCTGCAAGGCCCCAGCCCGGAAATCCCAGAGCCCTGCACCCTAAAATATCCAGTCAAAACCGCAACCCTCGAACCCTCAACCCTCACTCCCTACAGCCCTCAAACCCTAAACCCCAAACCCTATCACCCCTCAACCCCTCAACCCCCACTCCCTGAACGCTACACCCTAAACCCTCAAACCCTCAAACCCTAAACCCTCAAACCCTCAACCCTCAAACCCTAAACCCTCAACTCTCAACCCTAAACCCTCAATTCTCAAACCCTAAACCCTAAACCCTTAAACCCTAAACCCCTAAACCTTAAACCCAAGCCAAGTATATGCAGGCTCTGGGTCTAGGACGGGAGGCTGCAGGGGCTCAAGGCCTCCGAAGGGCTTTGGGCTTGAGGGTTTAGGGTTTATGGGTTTATGGTTTAGGGTTTAGGGTTTAAGGTATTTAGGGTTTAGGGTTTAAGGTATTTAGGGTTTAGGGTTTAGGGTTTATGGGGTTTAGGGTTCAAGGTATTTAGGGGTTTAGGGTTTAGGGTGGTGCAGGGTTTAGGGGTTTTAGCCCGAAACCTCCGAACCCGCAAACCCGAGACCCTGAACAGCCCAGGTCATGAAGTGCTGCATTGTGAAGCTTTCTCCAGTCCGGCCCCTCCATTCCTTTGAACAAGTTTGTGGCTAACACAGCTGGGATCGGTTCTGGCCCCATTCTGGTCGCCGTGGCGTTCTTCTTCTTCCGGAGACCACATGAAGAGGCAGCGTCTGACGGAGGATCGCAAATCAGCATCATCACGGCGAACTTGCAATGCTGGACGACTGCCGCTGTTCTGGCGGCTACTGCACTGCTTTTCCCAGAGATGAAGGACGGCCTTTTCAGCTGATCTTGTGGGACTTTCGTGCAGACACGATCCTCCCGGACCTTTTAACCCCTAAACCCTCCTAGGTGGTGGCGCCTGACGATGGCAAGGCTGTCCCAGTTCGAGGTCACCGAGCAGTGGTTCTTGCCGTGAGCCCCTTGGCTGCATGCCCTGACCATCTGTGCACGAGGTTAAAAGGGTTTAGGATTTCGGGTTGGGGGATTATAGGGTTTATACAGGGCTTGGGGTTTACATGCCAGGGGGGAGTATTGTTTAGACTTTAAGGAGTTAGGGTTTAGGGCTCAGCTGTCTGCTTCCGGGCTTTGCCTCCGAAAAGCCTCGTTCACGTCATATAGCTACTAGTAGTCAGACCCTTCTAGTCCTTCATGCAAATACACTGCAACGGAGTTGTTACTAATTATTAGTGGCCGCTGATCGTCCTTCATACGATATAATATACCCCAAAAACCTACTCCAAGTATTAAGTGCCCCCCCTAAACCCCAAACCCTATAGGCCCTACCTGTAACTCTCTTTACCTACAGTTTAACAGCCATGAGTAGGTAGAACCCATAAAACCGCAGGTAATTAGAGTCCCAGGTAAAGTCTGGCATCCCAACCCCGATCTTTCACGTTTTTTTTCCAGGCATTCTCATGGACGCGCTCCGGGCCTTCATCGTGTCTGGAGTTGAGTCGGCTACGTGCCTGCTGTTGCAGGAGAAGTTCGAATGGAACCACGATACTTGGTTTTAGGGTTAGGGTTGTTCCCTTGTTAGAAAAAAAGAGGATCCTATTTTAGAGCATGTTTCAGAGACGCTTCACGGGCCCACCTCGGGCAGTGTCGGCTTCTGCATCGGGCTGACCTTCTGCCTGGTCGTGCCCGCTTATACACTGCACAGGCAGTATCATGAAGCTGCTGGGTTCTTGTTAAGGGATTCAATTGAAGTTACCATAATAAGGAAGCCATATTATTTTCTATAGATCACTATTATGGTAACTTAAAGTAAATCCCTTAACAAGAGCCCAGGCTGTCAGGGATATTACGCTGATGAGGCTGTACACGACTCTTGGCATGCTGGCTGCCGTGCTGCTAGGCGTGGGCCTCGACTTTCTTGTTGCAGGGAACTTGGGGTCCCAACAGCCCCCTACCCTAAAGCCTAGATCCTAAACCCTATAAACCCTATAAGCCCTCTATATACCCTACACCATCAACCCTAAACCCCAAATCCTTAACCCTGAGCCGATATGTCGATGGAGGCGTTGCGTCATCTTTCCCACCACATACCTCGCTGGCGCGCTCAACATGGGCATCCTGAACAGCAACGTCTTCCCGGACAGGTCCTTTCTGGACGCCAACAATGTCATGCTCATCAATGGCCTCATTTCGAACGGCGTGGGACGCTTTGGTGGACCCGTCTTCTCGAGGTCTCTGATAGCAGAGCTGGGTCAGAAAGCTTATGCTGCTTGCCAGGCCGTGTCTCGATTTGTTATGGGTTAATGTAGGAACCTGATTAAGAAACCCTGGCCCTATCACCCCAAAATAGAAATATTTGTATAAAGAACGCCCTTGTAAGGGCCCAGGATTTGTTAATCAGGTTCCTACATCATCGTCTCTTCCTGCTGGAAGAGCCCACCTTCCATTTTGTGATAGCGATACAGACAGGGTGACCGGGACACCTTCGGATGGAGATTCAGGGGAGCACTATGCAGCGAGGATGCAAACGCCTTCGGCCCTTCGATGACGAAGGCTTTTGGAGACTCGACAGGCGGAGTGCTGTTGGTGTCGCCGCAGGACGACAATTCCGCGAACCAGTATGAGGTTTTGGGGCCATCTGGTTAAGGTTGTTTTTTCGCTGCTTGCCAGGCATTAGCCATGGGCGGTGTGCTAGCAGGCACTAGCCTGCTGTAGCATGGGTGGCCGCCAGTTGACCACCTCGCTTGACCTAGGGGAAAGGGTGTAGGGCGTATGTCGTAGTCGCAGCTTTAGCGCGACCGTAGCGGCTGGTGCTTTCTTGCCGGATTTGAAAAAAATGCGATCACTTGCCCCTCGAACCCATAAACCCTAAACCTCAACCCCCAGCCCGTGAACCGTAACTCCAAACTTAGGTTTAACGCCTGGGGTTCTAGGTGCTTCCCAGATAGATTAATACACACCTGTCTGACAGGCATGATCGATGCTTTCTACATCTTCACCAAGCGTTTCTTCGAACGCAAGAGATGTCGCAGTAGGCTTTAGGGGTAGGGCTTGATTGTTTAGGGATGTTCAAGGTTTAGCCCTCAAGCCCTCAAGCCCTAAACCCTAAACCCCTAAACCCTAAACCCAAAACCCCTAAACCCTGCTTAAGGTTTAGGGCCAAAGTTTAGGGTTTAGGGTGCTGGTCTAACGCAGGACCTGGTCTGGGTTTTGGTGGGTTTAGGGTTTAGGGTTTAGTAATTTAGGGTTTAGGATTTAGGGTTTAGGGTACAGTAGTTTAGGGTTTAGGGTTTAGGGTTTTGTAGTTTGGGGTTTAGGGTTTAGGGTTTCCCTGCAGGCTCCTCTCTAATCCCGCCCTGTATCGCAGCACTTAGCCTTCAAAATCCTATGTAAGGCGCCTCAATGTTTAGTCATACAACATCTGGCTTTAGTATAGTCTAGTCTAGTGGTCTAGTTTAGTTTTGTACGGTCTAGTACAGTATATAATGTGGCATAGTGTAGTGTAGTATAGCTAACCATAACCCTAGCATAACCCTAGTCCAATTCATGCGGCATCTTCTACAAAACAGGCCTTTGGCAACTTTTGTTTTGTTCTAGTTCTCTGCTGATTTGGATTTTGGTTTCTGTGATGGTGCTCTGCGTAAATTTTCTTGTCTTACTCATACCTTCAATTGGGAATGAATCCTCGTCCTTCTTTGCAAGGAGAGCCCGTGGCCAAGCTCGATGCGCTTCATGCTTTAGGATAGGGCTGCATAATTAGCCTGAGCCCTAAACCCTGAACCTTGCAATATAAGTTTTTGGGTTCAGGGTTTAGAGGCTTGGAGGTCTGGATTTGGGGTTCAGGGTTTACGGGGCCTCGCCTGGGCCGTCATGTCCTTCTACTCAGCAGAGCTTTGAATAATACGCACTTTGTTTCCCTAGCCTGACGTTTTTTTTTTTTTTTGCGGGCCCTGCACCATGAGGCCCAACAGCCCGAAGCTACTTCAAACACCAGCCCCTGCCTGCTTGCGTCGCTGTAGGGTTTAGGGTCTAGGGTTTCAGCTTTAGGGCCTAAGGGCCTAAGTGTTTAAGCACGCCTAAGTCCCCACCGTGTCAACCCTAAACCCTAAACCCTGAACCCTAAGCCCTAAACCCTAAACCCTACGCCCTGAACCCTACACCCTAAACTCTAAGCCCTGAACCCCAAACCGTCCACCCTAAACCCTCAACCCTAAACCCCAGGACGATTGGAAGCCTCAAGCCCGAAGCGTGAAACTTGCAATACAACTTCTCTAAACCTTACCTAGACCCCCAAAGAACCCCCCCCCCCGTTTTTTGTAAGGACTTATATTTCCGGAAATCACGGAAAGGAACGCTAAAAAGGTAGGTTCTTTAGGGCCAAGGTAAACCTTGAACCCTAAGCCTTGGATACTGCCCCCGCTCCGTAACAGTTGAGTTCTATTCATAATATGGATATATAAGGCCGTTAATAGTAGCCCTATTATAGACTCTTACCGTATGGGGGCAGTACCCAACCTAAGCCCTACTTTGCAAGCAATGGGAATGTCAACTCAGGAGGGCTGCTCCTTTGGTCCACGCAGCTGGTGAAGGCCCCAAAACCGGGATTCATACTGTTGATGATACAAATCCTGCATGACCTTAAGGACCCTAAACTATGGGAATTATGGTCTATTCCTTATTATGGGTAATGCAGGATTTATATCATCAACGGTAGTATAGGCAAGGGGCCCCAATAATTACCCTAAGCATCACAATAGCCCAAAAGCCTTATTTCATAGGGTCTTTGGGCCCGAAAGCCTTAAAATATGAGTCTTTTGACGGTAAGGGTTAGAATAGGGATAACAAGTAACCCCAAGGAACACGATTGGTAATTATTTAGGCTTCTATATTAGGGCCAATGAGGTTTTTGGGTTTTCATAGGGCTCCTACTTGGAGGCCCAGGGGACTTAGTAAGTGGGTTATAAGTAGAGTTAAAAGTTTTAAGTACCCTAAATGGAGTTACCCTAATTTACTAAGTCCCCTGCGCAACCAAGTAGATCGGACATTTCCCGAAAGCCTT